CCCCCACCCCAAACCCCAATTTTGTGAGCATTCATGGCCCGTCATACAATTTCTATTCTCCGATGTGGCTCTCAGGCCAAAAAGTTTGCCCACATTAAACAGATATATCTCTTGAAACTTTGCAACTCCTTTTTTAAATTAAAGCAATTTATTAAGGACAAAAACCAGTGTGTAACCAAGTTAACAAGGGCTATGACTGGCTATCATCTTGTACTTTGTGAATAGTATGTTTTAAAAAACTGAATTCTCTGTGACATAATATAAATACAGTGATGTGATCTTTTTCTATAGATCCAAAGATCATTTTTTGTACATTGAAGAAAAAAGGAGGAAAAACACAACACTTTTCAGAATTAAAATAGCCATGCGCTTTCTTTCTTATCTGATGGTGTCAGGTCACCATTGTACATGAGCACATTGGAGATGTGTCAAAGCAGAAGTGATTTGCTGTGGCTTCATTTTAGCAATATCTTGTTGGCTGAGTTGTTATGCTGATAAAGCAAAAGCAGGGTTGATATACAAATTCAGATCCTATTTTATTGGAACCCTTAAATTGATACTTTTGGGTTCCTGGTGGCTTAGAAACATCTTTGTCCTTCTCACCTCATCCTTGCCTGCACTCTGCCCTGAAGGTATCTTAGCCGCCCAGGATCTAGTCCACAGAAGGAGGGATTCATGGGGAGCAGCAGCGGCTCCAGGCACCAGCGCTCCAAGTGCGTACCTGGGGCAGCAAGCCACGGGGGGCGCCCTGCCGGTCCCTGCGAGGGCGGCAGTCAGGCAGCCTTCGGCGGAGTGCCTGCAGGAGGTCTGCCGGTCCCGCGGATTCGGCGGCGGGTACACCGAAGCCGCGTGAACGGCACACCGTCGAAGGCAGCCTGCCTGCCGTGCTTGGGGTGGCAAAAAAGCTAGAGCCGCCCCTGCTGGGGAGTCCAGAAGTTGGGATCATTTCAAGTTTTTCTTTTTAAATTATGAAAAATTCCCGTTGTGTGGGTACTTTGGAAAGAAATGAGTGTCTAGGAGGGGAGAGATTGGTAGCCTGGCAAACTGGGATAGCAGTAGGGTGACCAGATGTCCTGTTATTATTGGGACCATCCCAACATTAGGGGTTTTGTCTTATATAGGCAACTATCCTTCCCCCCACCTCTCCCCAAGTGTCCTGATTTTTCACACTTGTTATTTGGTCACCCTAGATAGGAGCAGGGCCGCCCAGAGGATTCAGGGAGCCTGGGGTCTTCGGCAGCGGGTCCCGAGTGGAAGACCCAGAGCGGAAGAAGCTCCGGGGGCCGGGCGCCACGAGAGTTTTCCGGGGGCCCCGGAGCGAGTGAAGGACCCCGCTCCAGGGGCCCCGAAAAACTCTCGTGGGGGCCCCTGCGGGGCCCGGGGCAAATTGCCCCACTTGCTCCCCCGGGCGGCCCTGGCTAGGAAAGGGCAGTCCCATTTTATTTGCAGCCTAAAGCTATCAGGCGTTGGGCTCCAGATCTATCCCCTCCCCTTCCTTTTTCGGTTGTTTTTGTTTTAAGACATGCAGACAATGCAGTTTGCACAAGTGTTTTTCGCTGAGCGCTGACGGCTGACACCAGAGTAGCAGGAGTGTGTGTGTTTGGGGATGTGTTTGCAGCCCAACGGGTGGATCATTGCCAGGTCCCGCTCCTCCTAATCGCAAAATACGCTGCTCCCAGCCCAGGTGCTCAGCAAGTAAGCGGGCTTTGTTTTCTGCAGGCAGGAGCTCGGAAACCTGTAGCGTCCAAGGCTGACTCGACAGCAACTGGGAGGAGAAAGCGCCTTCCAGCGCCAGTAACCACTCCCCAAAGGGAAAGTCATTAGGGGGTGGAGAGACAGCGCTAGGTGCAGGGGGAGCCGCTATTGGTACGTAGGGAATAGACAGCAGCCCCCTGAGTGCAGGAGGCAGCCAGGCAGAGCGAGCGACAGCCCGGAGCAGCAGCATCCCACTCCTGCCCGAACCACGTCTCTCTCCGCGGCAACTCTGAGCGCCACCGACCGCCTCCCTCCGGGCACCGCCATGGACTCCCCACAGAAGCCGCCCCTCGCTCACCTCTTCAAAGGGACCTTCGTGCACGCCAGCCACTCCTCGCCCATGGACGTGCTGCAAGGCCACCTGCTGGGCGTGGGCGACGACGGGAGAGTGAGTGGGAGGCGCGGGGTGGGCGGGGGTGTGAAGGGCGTGGTGGTGGCGTGCGGGGGACGGGGGCTGGAATACCAGGGCTCGTGTGGCAAGGGGGAGGGGCTGGAATATTGGGGTGCGGGACAAGGGCGTCTGTGTGTTCTGTTGGGGTGCCGGGCACGGGCAGAGGTGCGTGTGTGGAGGGGTTAGGTAATATCGAGGTGTGTAGGGAGGGGTATTGCAGGAGAGGAGGGATGGCCTACTGGGGTGCCTCTGTGGGGGTGTGCATAAGAGTGGGAGGATACAGTGTTGGGGTTTTGCATGTGGTACCATGTGGGGGTGAGATGGGTTTTCTGTAGCGTTGCATGTGTGTGTTCTAGTGGGGGTATGTACATGTAAGGTTAACAGGTGTGTGGTTACTGTGGGCACATGCATGCTGTGTTTTTGAGTGACTTTCTTTGTGATCTTACAATGAGGTTTTTAGCCGAGGAGGGCATGAAGCAGAGGGGCCTGACGCGCTGTCAAAAAGCAGACATAAATGATGCGGATGAATTTTTGGCATATCTTTGCTTTTCTTTAGGAAGATTTGAAATGCTGTGGTATATTTATTTCCAGCTATACAGATGTCTCCCAAAGTATTCATTTGCTCTCACTTGTGGCTTGAAATTGTAATTTGATTTCTTGAGTCAATGTTCTGCAAAGGGTAGGGGGGAAAGTGTTCCTGACTCATTTTTGCTGGAAGAGGTTGAAAATGTTTAAGGAAACAAGGTAAATTGGGGGAAGCAATAGAAGCAAATATTTTATGATCGGTAGGAGTTAGCTAGCGGTAACTGGTAATTCAAAGAGTTAGCTTCATAGACAGGATAAACCACTTGGTATCGTTGGAGGAACCTGCCCATGATGTATAGATTACTTTATTTTCACTGTTTTCAAAACAGCAGTTAATTTGGACCATAAATGTTTCCTCCAGTTTTTAATTTTCCATTCTCAGTAAAAATAAAATTCAGACCATATCTTTTTAAATTATTTCTATAAGAATAGCACAATTCTTTGTGTAGTGATGAATAGTCTCACTAGACATTTTCTCTTGTCAGAAGCAAAAAATGTATATACAGAGTAATAATTGACTGATGACTACAGAGTTTTGAAAATAGAAAGTACTCTATGAAATAAGAATTATTAATATAACTCATGGATTACTGATTCAGTGATGTGAGCCAATTTAAAAAAAAAGAAAATTACTCTTATTAATTGTGCAAGAACAAATATGATGGGGAAGCTACGTTATTGCCCTAAGAATATTAAATCTAGGCCTCAATCCTACAATGAACTCTGCACAGGTAGATCCTTGAGCCTTGTGGAATCCCACTGACTTCAATGGAGCTTCATGTGTAGATAAATTATAGAAAGATCATGTTCATCACCATGTCTCCTCTTTGTTATAAGGAGAAATACAGCAATTTATGTCTGGCTTGCATAAAATTTGACAGGCATGACTAGCAGACTGAACTTGGAGCCCTTAAAAACACTCTCTCCTCCCGCCCCCTCCCCCTCCCCCTCCCCCTCGTCTTATTCTCACCCTGGCCTGAATTTTGCACTTTGATCTGACTGGGTTTCCATCAAATGCAGATTTGATTGCAGGATTAGGACCTAACTTCCTCTTTCAGGGGCCATTGTGGGAGCCTTCTTATGGCTCATTAAGGCTTGCTGTAAAAGCCACTGAAGTCAATGGAAAGACTCTTCTTAACTTCAAAGGGCTCTGGCTAAAAAGTTATATTTCTATACATCTGAGTGGCTGCCACCTAAAGACAATATAGTTGAGTGAGTGGTTAAAGAGTTTGCTTGATATATTTCAAAGTTAGTGAGTTCAGTACTTTAAACTTCTACGGTTATATTTTATTATTGCAGTGTCCACTGAATCACTGTATTTTCCCCACACATAGTGCCTGATTCTGTAGTTTTAATTCATGCAGAGCTCCCATTAGAATCAGTGAGAAGTTGATTGTGTAAAGACTGCACGATTAGAAACTTGATTAGCCTTATCATTCAAATATATTCTATATATTTGGAAAATATTTCAATACTTTTGTTGAAGAATTAAAATAGAAGACTTAAAATGGGATCGTTCAGACTCACAGAGCACATCAGGGGTTGTGTGTAGGAATCTCACAGAGGTCACTGCAGGAAGAAGTGAGCCCCGGGGAAGAGATGAGAAGAAGAAGCTGGAAGTCATGTGACCCATGGGAAGCGGAAGAGACTCCCATGCAGAAGGGGAGGCTTGGAAGGCAGTAGAAAGATGATGGGGAGAAGGTTACAAAGGGGTGGTGAGAGTGGGGGCTTGGGCTGAGCAAGGTGGAAGCAGGAGGGCAGGCACGAGTGGAGCTGGGTAGGGCTTAGAGGGGAGGAGAAGTCTGACCCAGATGCAGGAAGCAGAAGGATGACAGTGGAGACTCTGAAGAAGTGAGTGATCTGAACAGAACTGCAGAGGAGAAAGGTGATTATAGCAGCGGCACTTTGGCTGAGCCAACTGGGAGCACATCGCAGCGGGGCCGGAGAGGAGGCAGTTGCAGGAGTCAAGAGGAGAGATGACTTAAGAAGGGAGTAGAATTTAGTTAGCGTGTGAGGAAGGGATGGAAAAACAGAGTATTCAATGGCAGCTTGGGTGTGGGCTTCATGGAGGTTGCATGCTGGGGAGATCCAGGATGGAGAGGCAGAGAAGGAGGGGATCAAGGCAGCAGGAATTGATGGTAATGAATCTTCTTTTCCTTTGCATCCAGTTGGCCTGGGTATGGTGGGAAGAGGAATTCGCTGAGGCCTGTAAAGCTCTTTGAGATCTTTAGCTGGGTGGTGCTCTAGGAGGGCAGGGCATTTTGGTTCTGGGATAGAGAATAAGTTCCTGCCCCTCCCGCTCCCTACTGCAACAAGCAATTCTGGTGGCTCCTAAGCAATCACAAACTTTAGCCTGATGGGTCGTGGCACTGCACATGCAATCAGTCCAAAATTTCCAGGGATGTTCAAGGCACCAATAGACAGAACCCTAATGATTTGGGTGAAAATCAGAAAACCATAAAAGATTGATTTCCATTGGTGAGAGAGGAAAAATCAGGCCCACAGAGTGCCTCTTTGGTGCTGAGCAAAGGTAATATCTGTGGTGCCCCTGCTGCGGCCTACACATATTGCAGGCAGCTGCTTAAGATGCTGCTCTCCCTCTTTGGGTGTACAACTCAGCTTCCATAAGCAGCGAAGTGTGCAACCCTGTAGAATGACTCCTTTGCATCAATGGGGGACACACCTAGCTTTGCCAGTGACATTGCACACTCAGAGGGTGGTGGCTGGGTGGTCTGGGTCACAGCCAGGGTCCTAATCTTCCTACATCCAGTCAATGCCCAGAAGTCAACGTTAGGGGAGGACACAGTACATCTTTTTTAGCCATGTCATTGCTGAAAACACTCCTCTCCCTGGAGGTATTAGCCTATCTGTCCCTGCACTATGCAAGCATAATGCTTCAGCTACTGCCATGCAGGCACTATAGCTCATTCCATCCTTGCACACTTCTAAGAGCCATAACTAAGCCCCAGAGCTGCGAGATCAGGCACACAAAAACCACTCAAGCTCTGGAAACTCCACTGCTAAGGTTACTCCCGCAACATTAACTCATTTGTATTACATACTCTGTGTATTTAAAAAGTTGGTAATAGTAAAAGTAATACATTAAGGTTTATAGTTAAGACTACTTCATCTATATAGCTGACTTTAGCATAGCTAGAGCAACTTTAATTTGTAATTTCTTAACCTTTGAATGTTTAGACTGACAACCTTCATATTTCAGTAAACATTCTTTTGCATTTAAGTTCCTATGGTTTATTAAAAATAATTGGCTTGTGCAGTTCACAGACATTTCTGCCTTCACCAGACGATCTTGTGAGTGCTGTTTTCTGCTATTTGTCTTGCGTAGCATACAAACTCTGCTGGTTTGACCATCTCAGCTTATCAGTTTGTTGAGCCAGCAAATGTTTTTCTAACCAATTGCTCTTTTAACAAGCTAGGCAAAGATGTGTAGTATGTTGATCTTTAAGTGGGCAGCTAACAATTTAATGGAATGTAATACTGTGCATGCTCAGTTGCACATTTTCAAATGTGTATTGCAATTAAACAGGATAGTGTGTTGTTTTATGATGGTTTTATTAGCATGAATTTAGAATGACTTTGCAGTAGTTATTCAAGTCATCTAAAACAACTGCCAAAAAATCCACTTCTTTCTTACCATATCATCATATATTCTGTTTATTCCATATTTTACAGAGGTTTTAGAGGTTTTTTTTTTTTTTTTTTTAAATTGGTCCTAATTTTTTCATCTCCCTGCCCTCAGAGACTTGAAGGTCAGAAGGGATCATCATGATCCTCTAGTCTGACCTCCTGCACATTGCAGGCCACAGAACCTAGTCCATTAGGGTTACCACATTTTGAGTGTCCAAAAAGAGGACACTCCACGGGGCCATGCCCGCGCCCCCAGCCCCGCCCATGCCCCTGCCCCAACTCCACCCCT